TTGCTTTGCATGTAATGAGTCTATCTCATATATTAGTTTCACCTTTTAAGTTGCGTTACTGAAATAAATGAACTTTTGCACAATATTCTAATTTTTTGAGTTTCACCTGTATCATCTCTCTGCATGGACTAAAGTAAATGCATTTGTAATAGCACCAAGTACAGCTTGAAATGTTTTTTACAAATAATTCAATAAAGCAAAAAAAGATACCAAAAGACTTAAAAATACAGTGGGGCAAAAAAGTATTTAGTCAGCCACCAATTGTGCAAGTTCTCCCACTTAAAAAGAGAGAGAGGCCTGTAATTGGCATCATAGGTATACCTCAACTATGAGAGACAAAATGAGAAAAAAAATCCAGACAATCACATTGGCTGATGTGGAAAGAACTTATTTGCAAATTATGGTGGAAAATAAGTATTTGGTCACCTACAAACAAGCAAGATTTCTGGCTCTCACAAACCTGTACCTTCTTCTTTAAGAGGCTCCTCTGTCCTGCACTCATTACCTGTATCAATGTCACCTGTTTGAACTTGTTATCAGTATAAAAGACACCTGTCCACAACCTCAAACAGTCACACTCCAAACTCCACTATGGGGAAGACCAAACAGCTGTTGAAGGACACCAGAAACAAAATTGTAGACCTGCACCAGGATGTGAAGACTGAATCTGCAATAGGAAAGCAGCTTGGTGTGAACAAATCAACTGTGGGAGCAATAATTAGAAAATGGAAGACATGCAAGACCACTGATAATCTCCCTCGATCTGGGGCTCCACACAAGATCTCACCCCATGGGGTCAAAATGATCACAAGAACGGTGAGCAAAAACCCAGGACCACACGGGTGGACCTAGTGAATGACCTGCAGAGAGCTGGGACCAACGTAACAAAGGCTACCATCAGTAACACACTACACCGCCAGGGACTCAGATCCTGCAGTGCCAGACGTGTCCCCCTGCTTAAGCCAGTACATGTCCGGGCCCGTCTGAAGTTTGCTAGAGAGCATTTGGATGATCCAGAAGAGGATTGGGAGAATGTCATATGGTCAGATGAAACCAAAATAGAACTGTTTGGTAGAAACACAACTCATTGTGTTTGGAGGAGAGAGAATGCTGAGTTGCATCCAAAGAACACCATACCTATTGTGAAGCATGGGGGTGGCAACATCATGCTTTGGGGCTGTTTCTCCACAAAGGGACCAGGACGGCTGATCCATGTACAGGACAGAATGAATGGGGCCATGTATCGTGAGATTTTGAGTTCAAACCTCCTTCCATCAGCAAGGGCATTGAAGGTGAAACGTGGCCTGGTCTTCCAACATGACAATGATCCCAAACATACCGCCCGGGCAACGAAGGAGTGGCTTCGTAAGAAGCATTTCAAGGTCCTGGAGTGGCCTAGCCAGTCTCCAGATCTCAACCCCATAGAAAACCTTTGGAGGGAGTTGAAAGTCCGTGTTGCCCAGCGACAGCCCCAAAACATCACTGCTCTAGAGGAGATCTGCATGGAGGAATAGGCTAACATACCAGCAACAGTGTGTGCCAACCTTGTGAAGACTTACAGGAAACGTTTGACCTCTGTCATTGCCAACAAAGGATATATAGCAAAGTATTGAGATGAACTTTTGATATTGACCAAATACTTATTTTCCACCATAATTTGCAAATACATCCTTTCCAAATCAGCCAATGTGATAGTCTGTCTGGATTTTTTTTCTCATTTTGTCTCTCATAGTTGAGGTCTACCTATGATGCCAATTACAGGCCTCTCTCATCTTTTTAAGTGGGAGAACTTGCACAATCGGTGGCTGACTAAATACTTTTTTGCCCCACTGTATATATATAGGAGCACACGGACCTCTACACAAGGCTTAACAGAAAAAGAGAATTTTACATGCACATTATATAATTAGATAGGTGAGTTAATATTCAGTGAACAAAGACTGAATATGGCATACAGGTGGTTGAATACAAACACCTTTGTGTTAGGAAGCTTCAATATTATCTCCCAAGTCTCAAGATAATAAGACACACATATCTATATAAAAACTGTGTTGCTCTTCAGTGGGCAGGTATTAGTCCTTAAGAACTTACAGAATTATCATTTAGGAAAAAAAACGGATTTTGCTCATCCAACATGTAAACAGATCAATTGATTGTAAACTGCTATCCCAAGCAGTGGCGTCCCTAGGGGGGTGCGGGTCGCATCGGGTGACACCATCACAGGGGGTGCAGGAGCAGGATACCAGCAGAGCTTCTGGGTTCTGTGAAAGTCCTGGCCAGTTATTGGGGTGATCCCGGATTCCCGGTACAGTCACAGCTGTGTCACAATGGGTTGCAAGATCAGTTAACCCCGTATACGTTAGACCTTTTTGGGGTTAACTGATCTTGCAACCCATAGTGATCCGCGGGATCAGCTTCAGTGGTTTGCAGCCTGTAAGGGGTTAACGGTGGCAGCTCTGTGCTAAAGTCGCAGATCGGCTTCTTTGGCCTGAAACCAGCACATGCGCAGTTGTTTCAGGGGATACATATCTTCACGGGATACTCATACCACTTCACGGGCACCGCTCCTACCTCTCTGAAGGGGCGACACGTGTTACTGCACCGGGTGACACCAACCCTAGGGACACCTCTGATCCCAAGAAAATCTTATATGTGGAGTATATAACGGTTGCACATTTTCCATTTGCTTATAAAAGTACAGATACTGCAATTGTAAGTAAAACTAATGACACTCTCTAATAAAAATGGAGTCATGCAATGCAGTAATACATGTTATGTGCATTACTGAACTTTGCGGTAACACGCATGACAATACATTAGTGTAAATGGGGCCTAAAAAACCCTAAATATCAGTATAGCTCAGCAAAACGAATCTGACCATATGCAATATACACCAAAATTGACTCTCTCAAACCTGTCAGGAGAGTAATAACTTGTCTTGCATTTATACTGATCCTTTGGTTTCACTGCTCTCAAACAAGTATGCAGACCCATAAAGTCAGAGAAAAGTCATGTCTTTATAAGCATGTACTATATGATTGCTTTCGGTCTGTGACTCAAACTATTGCAGTAAGAGGGTCTAATGACAACCAGGCAACTAGCATTTTCATAAACAGAACTATCCAACCAACATATTCTATGTTTTTCTCATGATAGGTTTGCTTTAAACAAAGAAGGTCAATTTGTATGTATATTTTAATTTCATATGCTTGAGCAGAATCAATAACATGTATAAGTTTTAATTCTTATGTTTTCTAAAACTGGCTAGATGTTAAAATTCAACGTAAAGTGCATATGTTATGCATCATGAGCTTACTAATCAAACAACTCAACAGTAAATTTAATGTGAAGCATGTGATAGATTAAATATGAGAATACTTGAGAATAATCATCCGCACTCATGAACTGTCCCATTGTGACTATCCTATGAATAGAGGAAAATCTGAGGCTATGTTTGGCACTACAATACTCATTTTGCATAGTGTCAACCAGTTCATGTGTTTTAGCAATAGCAGTTGTTTTCCAGTAACTGGAAGAACCCAATGACAAGTTTAGGAAGTGCTTGTCAACAATTTTAATATGAACAAAGCTTATTAGCTTACCAGGAGATACATAGCCAATATTCATGATGCCATATCACAAATACGAATGACCCTCTCTGAACACTGTCCATAACCTTACTAGGGAAATCTCTCCTGTCCTGGCCACAAATATTATGCTAGGATTTTCAGTTAAGCAACTCGAGCCAATGAAAACCCAACTGACCCCAGCTCTTGCTCGACACACACAGCAAGGATATCCATTTTTGATGGAGTTGTTCTTTGAAGTTCTGTGGACAGTATATAGCCTGTAATCATGGGGTTATACAACAGGCACCTCTAGCTGCATACTGCTTTACTTCCATAAAGCTCTGGACCTACAAAACCCCAAATGCTCAATTGAGGAAACATACCCTGTAAGGTCAGGCTGCAGCCCAACCCTACTCACCTCCCTTTCGGTCACTATGTGTGATAAACAACCTCACCAGCCAATAAGGGAACAATGAGGGCAGATCATGGTGAGACCATGTAAAGTCTGCTTGTTATTGTCATAGCAGAATGTCCCAGTTTTCGGGGTTTCACGACATGCTTGAAAAGAAGGAAACAATCATGCCGTCACCTCTGTCATCCCATGATCTGATTACAATATAAAATAACCCACGTTAGATTTCTATAGTTTGGTATTTGTTGCTGTTGCTCTTTGTTTGTCCAATAATTTGAATTATCAGGCCTCATGCACACAGGACATTTTAAAAACGCTCCTTCTCTTGGTAGCAGCGTCTTGGCATAAAAGCCGTCTGATGCTTGTCAAAGTGTCTAATGATTTTACAAGCGTTTAGGCGTGTTTACAAGTGTCAAGTGCTTGGGTGTCAATTCATTTAATTGACCAGAATAACAATTTATTCTGGCCATTGAAATGAATGAACACTCAAGCGCTAAACGTACCTAACGTTAACACTCGTTTACATGCGTCAAGCATTTTTTTTCTGCCAAAACACTGCTGCTCCTGGATGCACTGCACTTTTTTTTCCTGCTGGTAAACGCTACTATTACTAAAAGCTTCTAAACGTCTATGTGTGCATGGACACATAGGATAACATGGAGGGACTGTTTAGGAGCAGTAAAAAAAAAAAAATGCCTGACGCACCTAAAAGTGGCTGCAATAGCACCCTGTATGCATGAGGCCTCACTATCAAGCATAAACAAAATGATCCAAACCCACCAACCAAATGTTCTGGGAATTTTGCCAGTAAGACGTCATTTTCATCTATAATTAAAAATATTTCTAAACTTTGATTTTCATATTAATGTTCCCTCCGAGCTTGGGAATATCTGTTTTACTCAAAGGAGGGGTTGCATGGAGCCTTATTACGAAGGGTGGAGCACCAGAACTCTGTAGTAGAGATGAATTCTGGAACGTTCTCAGACACATCACTTGAAATTATTATGAAGATTGATTACCTGTCGGCTAAATGTATTCTGTACATGAATCCAGTAATCTTCCACAGGGTCGTAGCAGTAAATTGCCTTAGTAAGCCCTCCAGCTACATATATGAGGTTGTTTAAGGACACAGCGGTAATGCATCTCTTTGCTATAGGAATTGATGCTCGGAGTAGCCAGGTATTTGTATCAGGATCATAGCACTGCACCTGTGTAGCAAAGTATAATATTTATTTATGTAGACTTGGGTAGAAATTTAAGAGGATATATATAGGCAATACCTCAATATCATATTTTAAGCAAAAACAGAAATGTAAGACCACACACTATTTCAAGCCATGTTTTTAAAAAGCTTTATTGAACAAAAATGGCAGACACAGTCCAACCTGTTTCTGTCCACCAATGTGTTTCACCCACCTACTGCAGCCTAACTGTAGATACAGAAGAAAAGCTCATATATATACATATGGTAGCCATTTTTATGTAAGCCTTAGGGCCAATTCACACTATTGTGTTGTGTTGCCATCAGGGGTGGACTGAAAACTCATGGGGACCCCGGGCAATAGGGGATCATGGGGCCCCTGTGTCCTTGCCCAAACTCAAAAAAGCCTATGAAAAAGGTACCAGGGGCAACTCATGGGGCCCCCTACTCACCCCGGGCCGTCGGGCATTGCCCGAGTTTCCAAATGATCAGTCCGCCCCTGGTTGCCATTGGATGTGCTTTGCAGCTCAGTGCAACGTGTATTTCTTTGACTGCAACAAATGCTACATGCACCTTTTTTGGTGTGTTTTTGGTGCATTACGCATCATAATCAAATGAACGGTCTGCTCTAATGCAAAGCAGGTTAGCACACAGCAAAATGCATGAATATTAACACAGTGCAGTAGTGTGAACATGACCTTAAGCTTAAGCAGCTCATATAGTGAAGGAAAAAAAATTCAAAAGAAATACATGTCTATCAAATTATGCACTGATTTGCATGTTCATGAGGGAAGTATTTGATCCCCTATCATTCAGCAGGATGACTGGCTACCAGGTGTCTTTCATACAGGTAACAAGCTGAGATTAGAAGCAGTCTCTTAAAGGGAGTGCTGCTAATCTAATTTTGTTACCTGTTTAAAAGACACCTGTCTACAGGAGCAATCAAACAATCAGATTCCAAACTCTCCACCATGGCAAAGACCAAAGAGCTGTCCAAGGATGTCAGGGACAAGATTGTAGACCTACACAAGGCTGGACTGGGCTACAAAACTATCGCCAAGCAGCTTAATGAGAAGTTGCCGACAGTTGGTGCAATCATTCACAAATGGGAGAAACACAAAACAACTGTCAGTCTCCCTTGGTCTGGTGCACCATGCAAGATCTCACCTCGTGGAGTGTCAATGATCATGAGAACAGGGAGGAATCATCTCAGAACTACACGGTGAGGATCTTGTCAATGATCTCCAGGCATCTGGGACCACAGTCACCAAGAAAACAATTGGTAACACACTACGCTGACAAGGATTGAAATCCTGCAGTGCCCACAAGGTCCCTCTGCTCAAGAAAGCACATGTCCAGGCCCGTCTAAAGTTTGCCACTGAACATCTGAATGATGCAGAGGAGGACTGGTTGAAAGTGTTGTGGTCAGATGAGACCAAAATCGAGCTCTTTGGCATTAACTCAACTCGCCGTGTTTGGAGGAGGAGGAATGCTGCCTATGACCCCAAGAACACCATCCCAACTGTCAAACACGGTGGTGGAAACATTCTGCTTTGAAGGGGTTTTTCTGCTAAGGGGACAGGACAACTGCACAGCATTAAGGGACGATGGACGGGGCAATGTACCATCAAATCTTGGGTGAGAACCTTCTTCCCTCAGCCAAGGCATTGAAAATGGGTCGTGGTTGGGTGTTCCAGCATGACAAGGACCCAAAACACACAGTCAAGGCAACAAAGGAGTGGCTCAAGAAGAAGCAGATTAAGGTTCTGGAGTGGCCTAGCCAGTCTCCAGACCTTAATCTAATTGAAAATCTGTGGAGGGAGCTGAAAGTTTGATTTGCCAAACGTCAGCCACCAAACCTTAATGACTTGGAGAGGATCTGCCAAGAGGAGTGGGCCAAAATCCCTCCTGAGATGTGTGCAAACCTGGTGACCAACTACAGGAAACGTCTGACCTCTGTGATTGCCAACAAGGGATTTGCCACCAAGTACTAAGTCATGTTTTGTGAAGGGGATCAAATACTTATTTCCCTCATAAACATGCAAATCAGTGCATAATTTGTTAGACATGCATTTCTTTTGAATTTTTTGTTGCTATTCTGTCTCTCAGTGTTACAATACACCTACCATTCGATTTTCAGACTGATCATTTCTTTGTGAGTGGGCAAACATTCAAAATTAGAAGGGGATCAAATACTTATTTCCTTCGCTGTAACTCCCAACAGTCACATTATGTTATATTGCTAAATATCCACAGCTACTGAAAATGAAAAATTTTACACATTATTATAAGCTATGATGTTGTATGAAAGCAGACCTTCACTCAAAAATCAGACTTAGCATCATTGTCATCCTCTCCCAAGCCTGTTACACAATGGTAGATCTTTTTTACTTTTTTTTGGGAAATAACTACCTTTTTGCTCATTCTCACATTTGCTTTCCTCACCTAGGTAAAGGTGACGTTGTCCTTGACCTGCCTGTAGCCTCCTGAGATACATGTTGCATGTGCTAGGAGGCTTCAGGACAGTCTCCCGACAGTACAAAGGCCTTGTGCATCCACAGCAGGACTTCAGCAGGTAGGAAGTGACAGTCAGCTCTCAAATCCAAGATGGAGGTGCAGGGAAAAAAAAGCTAAGGGGTCAAGTGAAGTTCATCTTTAACAATAAATACTATCTATTTTCCCTTAAATAAAATGATATGGATAAAATGTGTATCTGATCAACATACAACAGAAAGCAGCAGCTTTGCTCCTGCCGCCCACTGTGTCTAACGGTAAACCTGGCCCTGCACCTGAATGTACCATAATTTAAAAAATAAACATACAGGTATTAGGGCTTGTTCACACTTGACTGTTTTACCAACGCTTGCCAAACGCCCCTATAGCGTTTGGCAAGCGTTGGTCCGGCGTTTGCGGAGCGTTTTTTAACGCTCCGCAAATGCCGCATGCGTGATTTAGCGGCGGTTGCTAGGCGTTTGCCGAGCGTTAAAAACGCCCCACAAACGCCTATAATGAAGTTTGAATGGTGTTACCGCTCCGCAAACGCCCCGCAACCGCACCACAAATGCCGGCCGGGCATTTGCAGAGCAGCACCATAGACTAGAATAGGAGGCTTCAACTCCTCCTGACTCGACCAGAGGCGTCTGTTTTGCCGCGACGCTAACGCTCCCGTTAGAACAGCACCATGTGCTGCAATGTGCAGAATTGTCCGAGGCACTTGGGAAGCGGTAAAAATGCTTCCCAAACGCCTCTCTGCAGCCTGCACACAACACTAGTGTGAATGTACCAATTAATAAATAATTTGCGCTAGTAAAATGTATATAAAAAAATATATTTAAAAAATCAAATCATAAGTCCAGAAAAATATATGACATATTGCCAATACCACAAAAAAGTGCAAAAAAACTTTAAAGTGCAAAAAAAAAACTTTTGTGCAAAAAAAAAAAAAAAAAGTGTCTAAACTTGAAGAATTTCACCAAAAACCTTGATAATGTGATGGGCAGATCATTCATAAAATATATTTCCAGAAGCGAAAACTCAGCAACACACCGATCCTCATCGATCAAATAACAGGATCAGAAACTTTGTAATTTAATCGGAAATCCACTTCTCCAAAAGAAAAGACCACCTTCAATCGTATCCATGGGGGGGAAATGCCAAGCACTCGGGAGAAACAGAAAGACTTCATGGTGCAATATTATAAAAACCAATTCCTTTATTAGGTACTCATTGCACTTACTCAAGAGGTGTCCCAGCCGACACCAGCATCAACAGCATAAACAGCAATCACATAAAAGAGCCTGGCTACTCAGCACGCGCAATAGCTGGCAGCCAAAAACGTAATGACATCACATCATCAAGCTCCCACCCTTGAACAAGCAAGATATTCAGATGGGTTTTTTTTGCACTTTTTTGTGGTATTGGCATATATATTTTTCTGGACTTATGATTTGATTTTTATATATATATATTTTTTATATACATTTACTAGCGCAAATTATTTATTAATTGGTACACTTTATATATGGTGGTTTTTTGCAGCTGGTACACTATTAGTAAGTTATATAATTTTGACCATAGGCGCTATTATTAATTTTTCTTATTACTAGTGTGAATGTAGCCTAAGTGTTCTAGTAAAATGCATCTTTTTGTCAAAAGAATTGTGACATATTTCTGTAGAGGTGTAAACTGCAAATTTCAAATTAGCATCAGTTACCTTATCTGAGCAGGTGTTGTCATCAGGTCCTCCACCAATCACAAACAGTTTCCCAACACAGCTTGTAACCGCTGGAGAACTCACAGCTTCTTTCAGTGGGGCTACATCTGTCCAGCGATTTGAGAAGGAGTCATAACATTCAACACTGCTCAGTCTGTTCTGACCATCATATCCACCAACCACATATACCTTGAAAAAAATCAGAACTTTTGCGTTATTATTGCAGGACTAAGAAAACGTAAAAAAATACAAATTATTTAATTATAGTCACCACTACATATTCACAAATACAGTATATACAGTAAGCAAACACGTAAAGTACATCTGTAGTGGGAAAAAAATGTGTTATTTGTTGGGTCCTTCACCCTCTTTTCTCATACCCTGGCAGTTAGCATGCCTCAGGGCTCTAGCATTTATTGGCATAAGTAAGGTGCCTTCTGGCACTTTATCATATCTACTATGCAACAGTTACAGTAGCTTTAATCTTCTCCTAGATATAAGATAATCAAGTGCCACCATATGTCTACATCTAGTCTGTGGGGTATTCATTAGGATTACATATTGGTCTAATCATGAGAAGATGATACAGTTCTTTATATGTAACAAATTGTCAAAACAAGATACATATGCTAAACACTAAAAAATGTATAAATAAATAAACAACAAAACTGTGCAAAAAATATCACAAACAAATGTATATCTCATAATGATGTGACCATATATCTCACAGCAATGTGACCCTCAAGGGAGCATCACATTATGAATAGAGTCCACTGCTAATAACAAAGTGTGCATAAAGTCAAATGTGCAAATAAAGTGATCCACAATATTATAAAGTGCTTTACAGTATTAAAAACTTTATAATACTGTAAAGCACTTTAACATTTGAGTTTGTGAGTACATAATGATACAAGGAATGGACTTTTTCATGAGTCTCTTGATGTGATACTCACCTTAATGGTCACATCATTTTAAGATAATCAGTTGTTTGTAATATTTTTTGCACATTCATTGGCCTATTTTTTTTAGGTTTTTACACATCATTTTTTTAATATTTATATTGTCACAAATAAATATTTTATAGTAATTCATTTTAGCAATATACTGTATATATACACTTTCACTCAAGACTCAAACATTTTTCTAATTTAATCCAATTAGAAAATATTAGACTCTTGTGCGAAACAATTAATAGACCCCAAAAGTATCTACTTAGCTAAACATCTTTTGCAGTGGTCTCCAATCCCTTTGCTTGCTTTTATCTGGCCCTTGGGGTCAATATTTCATCCACTGATATCAACAATGGGGCAAACTTCCCCCACTGATACCAATAAAGGGGCATAATTCCCTCCACTGACACCAATGAGGGGCACATGTCCTCCAACTGACACCAACAATGGGACCCAATCACACCAATAATAGGGCACTATTCCTCCCACTGACACCAAAGATAGGACATTGTTTTTTCCCCACTGTTATCAATACATTTTATACTCCCAGTGGTCACAGCTCCATCACCCTAAAGTCTGAAGGACAGAAAACTGGCCCTTTGTTTAAAAAGTTTGGAGACCCTGATCTATTGTACTGTTGTTACCTTTCCCAGTAGGACAGCCATTTTATGACGCCATCTGCCCTTATTCAAAGAAGCTACTCTAATCCAAATGTTTAGTTGAGAATTATAGATCCAGACATCCCGACTATTGATTCTTCCTCCTGCAAGTAAAAGAAAAAAAAATGGAATATGAATTAAAACGGTCACTGAAACAAAATTGATTTGTTTAATAAATGTATATGTATTTCCACATATTTTATAAATGATTGCATGTTTAAAACTAATCTGACCTTTAGCCAAATACATTCCAGGTACATTAAAGCAAAAAGTGTGCAAAGTCCAAAGACTAAAACACACCTTTGCAATATGGTGCGTTGTAGCAATAACATTAAGTGTGTCAATTTGATTGGAACCCCAACACATTAAGGCTACACAGTTCCGATGCACATGCAATGCCACTAATGCATTCTATTTTTTGGTCTGTTCTTGTGCATTGAATTTAGAATGTCTTAACACAACACATATTAAGTGAGTGATAATGCATGCATTAATGCAGTAGAAAACCCTGTCCAGTGCTAGCATGTTTCAGAGAAGCAATCTTGTTTTTTGTACAAAAGTAGTGGTCTTGCCGTCTAACACATAATCATTCAAATAAGCTGCCAGTGCCCCAGAAATTGGACATGTGCAGTGCAGTGCACCACAACACATGGTAGCACATTGCCATGTTTTGTGGTGTGCTGCAATTCAAATGTGTCAAAGGTGTGTAGCGCTATCCTCTAGGGAGTTGCTGGATTGGATGTGTTCTCTGTTTTGCCTCAAACTCCTCAATGACGTCAGACCTTCTGACACACTAGGCTGAGTGAACAGAGTTTGCAATATCACACAAATCACTACCAGGTACACAATATTGATGCTGAAACAGGCACCAAATGCATTAGTAAAGGCAAGTCTCAATATATTGTTACACAATATGATTGGTAATGATAAAGGCATGAAAGTGGATTACCAACAGTAGTAGTACAACTCCGCATACAGTATGATCAGTAGTCAGCAGTAGGTATGGAATGGAATAACGCTATGCACCAGGATCAGCATAAACAGTAGCAAGATCACCTTGAGTGCAGCAATGAGCAGTAATATGGCTAAATGTATTGCTTTCAGGAGGCTGTACTGCCAGAGTGCATTAAGGGTGCCTATGTTAGGCCTAGGCTAACAGGATAGGAGTACTCTTTATATGAGTAATGACTAGGGGGCTTGTAAAATGGCTTTATAGGAAACAATCCTTTACTATATTCTTCTGCCAGCTATAGTTGGGGCCTATAGGCAGTGTTGGTGCACTTAACAACAGCCTTGGTGAACCAACATGCAGTGTAGGCACTATCTAGTAAGTGTTCTTCCAGTAATCTAGTCTCTGCTATCAGTGTGTGATTAGTGGGCGGTCAGCCCTCTCACAAGACTACTGTAGACTCCTGCTGTAGGAAAAGGGGATCACTGTGTCTCTGCACAGATGTCTCCAGTGATCAGAAAGGAAGGAGGAGAGAGAGAGATTGCTCCAGTCTCTCTGCAGCAAAGGGTGGGCTGCTTGGATTGCCACGGTACGTGCAGTGCTGTCTTTGTGCCACTTTTCTCAGGCCTCAACATCCAGTCCTCACCAGTCTGGTCCCCTGCAGAAATATGTACAAACAGGCTGATGTGCTCACATGGACTCCCACTCTGCCAAGAGTTAGAAGTTTCCAGTGCAGTCTGTTAAAAGGTATTCCACTACTCCCCCTCCTTACTATATTGTGTAATGCAGGGATTCATGAGTCCAATTCTATGGTGGATGTCCCGAAACTTCTATTCCCATGATCCTTGGTATTCTGCACGGAAGTCCATAGCCTTTCATGGCTATAGCTCTCCCCTTGCTGGAGGACTGGAACATGACACCTAGCACAGCAGTAGAAAGCGAAAGTAAAACTGACTGTAAAGAGGACAATATCTCCTTCTCCATGTTTCTGTAAACCAGCACCTGGCTACAGGTGTGATGCCTTAATAAGTTTGGGTGGCATTGAACTGCTAAGACATACCACAATGGACAGGTATGAAAGGACCATAAGATTTGCACACTTTTTGATGCACCCAGAATGTGTTTAGCTAATTTAAGCTGAAAGTTCATTTGGTCTGTAACTAGTAGAAGTCATCAGTGCCTACCAAAGATTATAAATAAAGATACATATCTTGAACCAAAGATACATTCATTAATTTTGATAGAAGCACTCCTGAGTCTGTGTATCATGCATAAATATTACAAAATTATACACAAGTAGAGTCATCAGCTAACGTCTGAGTTTTCCTTTAGGGCTTTAATAAGCTCATCCAATTAACAATGACTTTGATTGCAGTGTACATTGGCCGTTTTGCTGCATGAAACAATTGCTGAAAGGAATTAAAATGGTTTATGGGATTTGTTGTTAAAAACAGGAAAGATACACTGGACCTGGAGAACACTTCCTGAATTTGAGCAATATAGGAATCTAAAGACATCAAGTATTGATTGTTGCCAAATAGAGCTAATTTTAGTCAAGAAGGAAATTAACACACCTTGTACACCCCTTAGGCAAATATAAAACTCACCCCAACACAGTGGGATTGATTTACTACGACAGGAGAGTGCAAAATCTGATGCAGCTCTGCATGGTAGCCAATCAGCTTCTAACTCCAGCTTGTACAATTATGCTTTGAGAAAATAACCTGGAAGCTGATCGGTTTCTATTCAGAGCTGCACCAGAGTTTGCACTCTCCAGTTTTAGTAAGTCAACCGCATTGGGTTCAATTTGTATAAGAGCGGTGTAGCTTTTATAATGTATTTGAACAGTGAAACATGTTAAAGATCTGCTAAATCCCCTAAAAATGTTTAAAGTTACCATCAGTGCTTTCATAATGATATAGATATGGAAAACATACAGTGCATCACTCTGTTATTTAAATATATATCCTCTATAAATTATGTAGTTTAAAAATCACATAAATACCAAAATAATCACAATTTTTCATCCAGTAAGCCATATATACAGTAGCTTAAGTCCCATCAGTGCAGTTTACACAAAATATGTAAGCAATGCTTTACAAATCTTCATATTTCCACTTCTAGTGAGCAGGTCCACCACAAGATATTCCTATACACAGGGGCAGACTGACAACTCATGGGGCCCCCAGGCAATAGGGGATCATGGGGCCCCTGTGTCCTTGCCCAAACTGAAAAATGCCTATGAAAAAAGGTACCAGGGGCATCTCATGGGGCCCCTTACTGACCTCGGGCCCTGGGGCACCTCCAACCCGTGATTAGCTCTCAGCTTCCACCCAGTGTGTGCTCTCACCTTATCCTTTGGACCCATAAGCACCAGAACCAATACTGCTTTTTTTTCCCTTTCAGTCACATAAACTTTCCAGTCTTCTCTGCTCCTCCTCTACTCAGGTTACAGATATCAACTGTTTCCAAAACTGAGCGTTCTCTGTGCAATCATTTATTTAAAAACACTCACAATAAAAAGTACACTATTTCCTGTGTACTATGGATCAGGGGCGGACTGACCATTTGGAAACTCAGGCACTGCCCGAGGGCCCGGGGTCAGTAGGGGGCCCCATGAGATGCCCCTGGTACCTTTTTCATAGGCTTTTTTGAGTGTTGGCAAGGACACAGAGGCCCCATGATCCCCTATTGCACGGAGGCCCCATGAGTTGTCAGTCTGCCCCTGCTATGGATAACAACAGTGCTCCTCCAAACCTCTGCTGTTGCACCTACAACTCCAGGCTGCCCCATTCCCAGAAGAGCTGGAGTTCTAGGTGCAAAAAATTGTGTTTAATTGTATGTGATTTTTACACTATTAAATCTATGGAAGATGTATATTTAAATGAGATAGCGCTGCACTTTTTTTCATTTGGTTATTTTGATTTAGGGTGTGAATTGCACATTGGTACTGGCTAGCTCTAAAAAAATAACAGAAAAAAGGGTACAGAGTAGCAGCGCAGGAGAAAAAATAACTTTATTTGACCATAATGATAAGTGTTTATCATCCCCAAACGGAAAGAGTGTTTTAAAGGTCAACCAATCAAAGCTTGCTGAAAATGGTGCGAATACTTTGTAAAATCTTGCTGTACACACTGCACTCATACAGACTGACACCCGTGCAGCAAGGAAACATAAATGGCACTAAAAACATGCAAATAATGAAAGATTTGGTACCTAGACAGACACTAGCCATACGTTTACCATACCTGACACTAGAATATCATTCCTCAAAGCACAAACAGCATATTCTGACTTGGTAAATTCCGGCAACTTTGCCAGTGACTTCCATTCACCAGTCACTGGGTCATAGCATTCAGTGTAGGGCAGGTTGAAGCCTCCAACACGTTCACAACCTCCCACAACCACAATGACTTCAGAGTAGCCAGTAGACCTGTAAACATAAAAATCACACATATAAGTCACAAAATGCACTGTACTATGAAGTCTGTATTGTATTCATTTTTATATCAATTACAAATTCTGCAAGGTGTTAAACAGTAAAGAGCCCATTCACATTAGTCCCTCATTGGCAAGTCCAGTATCACACACAATCAGACTCCTTGAGTTAATTTTTTGGAGGATACCATTTCACCTTCTATTCATGAAAGGAAACTGAAGCACTTATACCAAGGGTTCTTAACCAGGGATCCATGGACCTATAAGCAGAGTTTCGGCTCCCCCTCCCAAAAATTAAAAGTCAGCAGCTACAAATACTGTAGCTGCTGACTTTTAATATTAGGGCACTCATCTGTCCAGGGATCCAGTGGTGCCTTCACCCTGAGCAAACTCTTCAAATCGGCTGGCGCCACCATCTTGGCTAAGGGAAACCGGCAGTGAAGCCTTGCAGCTTCACAGTCATTTTCCTACTGTGCATGCGTGAAGTACGATACGCTTTGCAAATGGGCTGCAGTCTTTTGGGACCTGTGAAGTGTCCCAGAGGGCTGCGGGGGGAAGGAGGGGGGTCAAACTTCCAGCTCAGTTTACTTCAGTGAACTGAGCTGGAAGTGGGAGAAGGAACCCATTAAAACCAGGTACCCTCTACTACTCCCTCCCCCCAAAAAGGTGCCAAATGTGGCAGCGGAGGGGGAAGGAGGCAGGTAAGCAGAGCTTCCACTTTTGGGTGGAACTCCACTTTAGGTCCATGGATGGGTTTCAGGAGGCCCATTAGGGTCAACTATAAATAACTTTCACATTCACTATACAACCCTCCCCTTTGTCCCAATAATGGGTTTTCTATTAAAAGAAATAAGAAACACACCCTACTACTTGCTTATAGAGCTGACTGCTAAGTGTCTCTTAAGTAATTGTTCTCCCATGTTTATAATTTAAATTTGTACCATCGTTCTCTGCACAACTGCAATCTTCTGCCACTCCATAATAGCAAATGCTAATGTAATAGTAGTAGTAGTAGTAGTAGTAGTAGTAGTAGTAGTAGAAGTAGAGTGGCCAATACTGTTTGCATGAAAAGGAGTGAGTTTTTTGTGAAGATTGCTTACTATATTCAAACTTTGTATATGTCATACTCAATGCATTGCTGCCATGTGATTGGATTGGCTGATTAGCAATTTGTGTTACCAAGCAATTGAACAGGTGTACCTAATAAAGTGGCCAGTGAGTGTGTGTATAAGGAAAACAAATTTCAAAAACTAAAAGTAGATTCTGCATATTCACTACATGCAAAGTAGTGCATATGTGAATGTTTCAGGGAGGGGGCCATAGTTGTATTCAGACTCTTAGATAGATACACAGAATATAACTAGATATAACATTTATAGATAAAGTTGATCCAGGGAATATCCAATTGCCTCTCAGGGGATCAGGAAGAATTTTTCCCCTGCAGGAGCAAATTTGATCATGCTTTGCTGGATTTTGTGCCTTCCTCTGGATCAACTCTGGGTGTAGGATCATAACTTTTTTTTAATGGTTGAACTGGATGAACTTTTGTCTTTTTCAGCCAGACTATGTAACTCTTAAAGGGGCCTGTGACTCAAAAAAGGTTAAGAACCACTGACCTAGAGGAATCCCCCATGAACACATACAAACTCTGTGCCTCTGTTGGAGAGTGAAACCATGAACCTGCTACTGCAAAGAACACTGCACTGCAAGACTAATTATAACTAACCATAAAAAGTGCACTAATTTTCCCTTGCCTATTTAAATTATGGATAATGGTGATGAAGACAATGTTTTCAAGTATTTAAAATCATAGTATAAACCAGTGGTTTCCGAACTGTGGCCCAGGGGCAGTATGTGGCCCTTTGCTTGCTTTTATCTGGCCCTTCGGGCACTATTTTATTCACTGTCACCAATGAACAGCACAATTCCTCCCAATGACACCAATGATGGTGCACAATTCCTACCAATGACATCAACAATGATGCAAAATTCCTCTCAATGATATCAATGATGAGAGATTGTTTACTTCCACTGATGCTGGGACATTTTGCACTCCTGATGGCCACAGTCCCCCCCCCCAACAGTGTGAAGGTAAGTAAACTGGCCCTTCATCTAGAAAGTTTAGAGACCCCTGGTATAAACCATTGTCTTGCCCAACTGTTAGGTAGACAGGCAAAGGGCTCCACCAGAGAAAAGAGACCACCCTCTCTTAAAGCTGAACTCCAGGCAGAGGCAAAACACATAGATCAATGCAGCTCTGTAATCAATAATACATCCTTTTATGTATTTTAGGAATGCAAGTAGTATAAGCACCTCTAAAGTTGAACTATACTCACTTCGACTCCAATGATGCAGTGTCCCAGAGCTCACTGACATCTTTGGCCAGCCTTCCTGCAGGTTAAAGATCTTCAGCCATTTCGATGGGCTGAACTGAGATAACATCACTTCCATGCATCGGCATTGCCAAAACTGTACACGGAGTCAAAACACTTTATTGCAGAAGACAGATAGTGGGGTTGATTTGCTAAAACTGGAGAGTGCAAAATCTGGTACAGCTGTGCATGGTAGACAATCAGCTTCTAATGCAGGCCATAGATGGGTCGAAAATCGGCCGATTTTTCTTTTAAAAAACGAAAAAATCGGTTGTTCAAGCAGCCGACGTTACCATCAATGGTAAAAAAAAAAAATCGGCCGATTTTCATCCCGTCTACAGCCGGCAAAAGTGTCCTTGCAGAGAGCTCCGCTATTTCTGACAGTTCTCTGACAGTTCCTTGACATTTACAGAGGTTGCAACATTGTATCTATTTGTTTCCATTTAGGATACAGATGTTTTTATTCGGAAACAAATAGATACATTGTTGCAACCGCTGTAAATGTTAAGGAACTGTCAAAGAACTGTCAAAGAAATAGCAGAGCTCTCTGCAGAGACACTTTTTGCCGGACTGGAATTCCTTTTATTTTTCATCCTTCTTCTTCTCCTTCTTTCTTCTTCTTCTTTTTCTTCATCATCATCCTCTTGTCATCATCTTCTCTTCTTCTTTCTTCATCATCATCATCCTCTTCTTCTTCATCATCATCCTCTTCTTCTTCTTCATCATCCTCTTCTTCTTTTTCTTCATCATCATCATCCTCTTCTTCTTCTTCATCATCATCCTCTTCTTCATCTTCTACTTCATCATCATCATCCTCTTCTTCTACTTCTTCTTCTTCATCATCTTCTCTCATCTTCTTCTTCTTCTTCTTCATCATCATCATAATCATCCCTCTTCTTTTTCTTCATCATCATCATCATCCTTTCTTTTTTTCTTCTTCTTCTTCGTCATCATCATCCTCTTCTTCTTCTTCTTCATCATCATCATCCTCTTTCTTTTCTTCATCATCATCCTCTTCTTCTTCATCATCATCCTCTTCTTCTTCTTCTTCTACTTCTTCTTCATCATCATCATCCTCTTCTTTTTCTTCATCATCAATCCTCTTCTTCGACTTCTTCCTCTTCTTCTACTTCTTCATCATCCTCCTCTTCTACTTCTTCATCATCATCATCCTCCTCCTCCTTCATCATCATCCTCCTCCTCCTCCTTCTTCATCATCATCCTCTTCTTCTTTTTCTACTTCTTCATCATCATCCTCTTCTTCATCTTCTACTTCATCATCATCCTCTTCTTCATCTTCTTCTACTTCATCATCATCCTCTTCTTCACCTTTCTACTTCATCATCATCCTCTTCTTCACCTTCTTCTACTTCTTCATCATCATCCTCTTCTTCTTCTTCTTCTCATCATCATCCTCTTCTTCTTTTTCTTCATCATCATCATCTCTTCTTCTTCTTCTTCGTCATCATCCTCTTCTTCTTCTACTTCTTCATCATCATCATCATCCTCTTCTTCATCTTCTTCTACTTCTTCATCATCCTCTTCTTCTTCCTCTTCTTTTTGTCTTCCTCTTGCAGGTCACTGCTCATGCGCAGATTTTTTATCGGTAAAAAATCGGCCGATTAGCCCATTATTGCCACGAAAATCGGCCGATCGGCAAAATCGGCCGATTTTTTTCCAACTTTCCCGATTTAAAAAAAAAATACCGAAAAAGCGGCCGAACAAATAGCCCACTAACGATCCGAAAATCGGCCGATTTTCGACCCATCTATGGCCTGCATAACTTCAGCTCATTCAATTAGCCCTTGAGCAAAAAAAAAAAAACTGGATGCGGTTTGGTTTGTGCTGCACCAGATTTTGCACTTTAGATTTACAGCTTTAGTAAATCAACCCCAGTATGTCTCCTCTGCATTAAAAATCCTACCTCTTTGCCGATCGTGTTTATTGCAGTGAAAGATAGAAGGATAGGATACTGATAGGAGGAGAGAGCAGACTGACAATAAAGTGGAGTTCATCCGTGTGCTGCTCCTTCTTTACTGTCCAGTAATAAAGTAGGTGAAGGTAAAACATCTCTAATTAAAAGTGAAGCAACAAAGACTGGATCTCCTCCTCTGCCAGGCAGAACTATGCTGTGTTGCAGAAGTTGTGTAGATTTCAGGACTGTAGGGACAAAAATACAAATCCTTTTGACAGGCATAACAGCTCTGATATAGCATTTCATCTGAGTATTTAGCTGTTTGCATGGAGTTTAACTTTAATTTTTGCTTTTACTGTAGGGCAACTGTTGATCTGGAGCCACAGCTCCAGGTGTCAGCTCTTTTAAGAAAAACTAAAGTTGGAACTTGGCTACCAGAGGCAACAGCTCCAGTTTAAGTATTTTTTGCTCAGGGATTTTCTTCTTTTAAAGGCCGCACTTAACCACCCAGCAGGCAAAGACAAAATGTGTTTTGTGTATCTTTTTTCTATTATGCACTAAAGCTATAACTGGCTGAGATAAATGTCAATCAATGAGATAAGCACAATACTGACAATAGGCTGATGGCAGGTTTTCTGCTGGCACCAACCCATGTTAGGGCTGACAGATATATTGTGGTATTTTTTAGATTAGTGTTCAAGGCATACTCATTTTTAAAACACTAAGGGACTAGTTTCCCATCCTAAATAAATAATAACTGGTTTTCTAGTATTGAAGCCAAAGGAAGATTTAATTTTAGCTTAGAATAGTTGTCTGTTTTCTGCTCAAATTTCCTAGCAACGATATGAAAAGTACAGAGGAGGCACATTGTTGGGAGGTGGCTTGTGTGCTTACATGGTGCACACAGATGACATTCCAGGATGAGTACATAATTTGAAATAAATAAAAAAATATCATCAGCACTATTGATTATGGGGGGCAATTTACTGATAAAACATCTGTAAAACCTAGCCCTGGTTTGACTTAATTTTAATAGCAAAGCAGTTTTGTGACCAAGAAATAATTAAAGGAGAACTCCAGCCAAAAGTAGTATTGAAGGGTTACAACTTCTATTAGCTTATTACTGCTGTCTGTGTTCCTGTTTGAGAGATTGCTCCTTTTTATTTTTATATATATATAAAAATATAAAACTTTTATAATATGCTGTACCCATATAGATATGGTCATTTATGTGAAAATGTCAAGAATAAATGGAATGTGTGTATGTAATCTGAGCCTGTCTATACACTATGCATTTTTTTGTCAATCATATAATCAATTTGAGCATTAAAGCGAAGTTCCAAATAATAAAAGTCAGCAGGTACAATAACTGTAGCTGCTGACTTTGAAAAACAGCCACTTACCTGTCCCTCGATCCCGCATTGTCCTCCCCACAGCCCGGTTCACTGGCTGTCCTGTGTTCTCGGTGGCAGCATCTTCAGTGTGAGCATATGGCTGTGCACAAGTAGTGATGCACTTTCTGAATAGTCCCGTAGTCTTCTTGGACCTGTCATGTTTTCTAAAAGACTATGGGCAGGGAGGAGGAGAAGACAAGTGGAGCAGATACCTGCCAATTTCAGGTACTCACTTCCCCTTTGCTCCCCAAAGGTGACAGTCCTTAACAGGGACTGGGGGGCAGTCCTTAAAGAGGAACTTCCCCTTTTGGGTGGAGTTCCGCTTTAACTACTACAGTCAAAGAAACCTCAATTTACAAAACTAACACACCAGGATACAGATCTTTATTTTGCAAAAAATTCCACTAAGATTTGGAAATGACAGTTTCATGGCTAAAATAAAGATCATTACCTTGGTTTTAAAGCTTTTTAATTGAGCTTATAATTGTACATACAACCAAACCCAAGCATGGAGCCTGTCAAAATAATGAATTAGAAATTGTTTTTAACTTATTAACATGAAAGTAATGAGATGTATTAGTGACCACTTTGAGGATTGATGGGTTTTGATATAAGCAAGCACAGCTTATTTTTGATGTTTGAGACGTATTTGAGATCATTCAGAATTCATTGACAGCTGTATTTGACCTGCAGTTGACCTTCTGATATGCACTTGACCTGCTTCGAACTGGTTTGACTTGTATGGAGAGACATGTAATTCTGAAAACCCTTTGGCCTTGGCCATTTGGATCACCAGTTCTCATAACTGCCTGCAAGTTCCGCCTGTTCACGAATGCCACCACAAAGCAAACCGGTGATTTGACCATGCAGAGCAAAAGAAAGATTCACCTACATTAGAGGTAGAGGACTGGGTCACATGCTCTGAAGATATGCTACTGGGAGACTGGGCATTAAAGCGCACCTTGTATGGGCAAAGCACAGGCTTGCTTTAAGGATCCCATAGCTATTAAATAACACTCTCTTGACAAGGATATTTTTAGGCTTTCACAACCTACTGTCTCTGAACTATCTACAAATGCCACCAGCTGACAAAAATATTGCCTGAGGTCCTTTCAAATAAACCAGGAATGGAGGCATCTGCAATGTGCTCCCCCACCTAATTTTTCTCCATATCCTAAATGATGACGCAACCATTCATGTTCAGAGTAACATTGTCTAGCACAGTGGTCTCCAAACAGAGGTCCTTTGCTTGCATTTATCCAGCACTTGAGGCACTATTCCTCCCCCTATTACCAAAGAATGGGCATTGTTTACTCCAACTTGGCACAGTTCAGCCCCCCTAAAGTCTGAGGGGCAGAAAACTGTCCTTTTCATTAGAAAGTTTGGAGACACCTGGTCTAGCAGATGCCTACATGTGGTCACATCATTCCTACGCATCTACATGGCCAACAATACCTTGTATAAGAAATATTCTTTCCTTCCCTACATCCCTTAATCTGTTGGATTTCAACCATATCATGGCAGGGGCAACTTTGTATCTCTCTTGAAAAAGTAAGCACTGTGCATTTTTGGGGGGATTAGTTATGAAAGAAAAGCGGTATGAAATTTCATCTAGAACATAAAGTTGTGATCAAGTATACCTATATGTGCATATAAAATGTGTTACTGAACTTTATGAACAATATTGATCTGTGCACACCAAACTGTTGGCAATAGTATGTTTGACACCAGTAAACCTAATAGATAAAATGGATAGAAACAGTTAGGAAAGATGATTAGTTAGGAAAGATGATTAGCCAACGTTAAACCATTTTAGGAAATGCCAATGATTCCTATAGTAATGAGTGAGAACCACTGATGTAATCACTCTGTAATATAATTGTATTGTGTCTCCACCTATGATGACTAACATACACTTTCACAAATATCATACATATTTCATAACTGAACAACAACTCGACTGAAAAGTAAAATATGGAGCAGTAAGCTAAAGACATCAAAATAGGTCAAACCTCCTTGGTCTGGTACGTGGTGACATCATCTCATTTCCCAGTACATGATATCTTCTGGCTTCATGTAGCAGCTGATAACACTCTGGGGTGTTCTGAATAAGCTGATCTACTTCTACTGTCTGAACAAAGTAGTTAGGATGGAGTAGTGGTAGTCTAACATGTGTCAAAAGTTCATGTAACATAGGCCTTCTGACATCAACATGGTGGTACACCCAGCGCATGACAGCTTCAAATACCAGCTCTTCTTTGCTGACAACCAAATCATCACTGCTGATATAATCAATGACCTCTGCTTTCCCCAGCTCCAAAAATTCCTCATGTTGAACAACAATTTCAAATGCCTGTTGTGCAAATGTTTTACACTTTGTGTAAAGCGTCTTGAGTGAGTGAGTGTCTGCAAAGTGTTGGATTCCAAGGCAGTTGCAAGGGTCAAGTTGCTCTTCCAAAAATTTTGCACATGCATCACGCAACACACCAATCTGAAACAAGCTGGAAGTTTCAAAGAGATATTGGACATTTTCTGTGGTAATTTTTACTTTTCCTGTATAAACATACTGGAGAAAGCAGTCCATGGCTTCTGCAAAAATCCCATTGATCTCCACCAGCATCTCTCTGCTTTCTCTGTGGTCATTGCAGAACATGGCTCGGAAATAGCTGCTGCAGGCCGACAGGATGGCTCGGTGACAGGGAAATTCTCTGCCCTCCACACAGATGACAACATCAGTAAACAGACGGCTTTCCCGGAACTCATTAAAGATCTGTAAGATGCTCTCAGAGTGAGAGGAACCAGAATTGAAGTCAAATACTTCATGTCCCATCAACTTTTGGTCCATCTCAAAAACTTTACGCTTAGTTGCAGGTGACTCACGAACTCCACTCTCCTCTCTGTTCAATCGACGTCCCAATATGAGTACCATTGTTCAGTTGTGTGGGTACACAACAGTCTGGAATTATTTAATATTCCACTACCTGCAAAGTAATCAGATCAGCAAATAAAATAAACAATTTCATAAAGTGCGTTATACATACATACAAAATGTGCTCTAATGCATATACATGATTTAATTCCGGCTGTCCAGCTTTGTGCTGGGACACATTACACTGTTTACTTTTTTTTGCTGTCTCCACTACCAGAGGTGCTTGGATGGGAATTGTGCAAGAAGCCACCCTTGTCATCTCGAGCTCTACTAACAGGCAAGTCACACCATAGTTCTACTTTATGGCTGAGACATTGAAATGTATCAGTGACTAACTTTAAAAACAATCAGACTCGCAAAAAGGAGAATGTGCATGCTCATGCGTAGGAACAAGTACGGTAGTGCCAACAAATTCTGGCGCCTGGTGGCCTATTTAAACCAAAAGCCCACCTAGTATCATTGCTGGATGATCTTTTTTGTATGACAGAAGAAACATAGTGGGTTCGATTTACTGGAATGGGAGAGTGCAAAATGGTAGGCAATCAGCTTCTAAATTGTTGTTCTAGTAAGCTTTGACAAAAAAAACCTGGAAGCTGATTGGTTTCTATGCAGAGCTGCACCAGATTTTGCACTCTCCAGTTTTAGTAAATCAACCACTGTCTCATAGATGTTTCCGCCTACTTGTTAGAACTTTTTTTGGGAATTATTAATGCGCAGTTCAGTGTACATTCTCCACATGATTCTGTGCTGTGATGATGTAACTTTGATGTGCATACAAGACTTGGAGAGAATGCAAGCACTGGGATCGCAGAGCTGGAGGGGATACCTTTGCTAGGTAAGTTTTCCAATATTGCTAGTATGCTGTGCTTAGTGGCACAGTATGGCATAAAACTCCTGGGGGCCCACAATGTTTTATTGGTCTGGTAGTTAAGTTCCGCTTTAATAAATCAGGGAAATGAGCAATGATAACATGCAAAGTAAAGTGACCTCTAGCAACCAATCATCTTTTAGTTTACTGAAATCAGATACGAATTCTGATGTCTTGTGGTTCAAAGTCCTGTGCATGTTACATGTTTTTCTTAAGCCAGCTATAGATGGCGCGAATCGAGCCATCTATGGGCAGGCTGATTGTACCCAAGTCGATCCACCAATCGACTTGGGTACAAGCAGCATGTCGGATTTTTACTTGCGATTATTGCCAGCGGCTATAGCTGCCACCAATAGTCACTATGTTCTTCCAGCAGGGAGGACTCCCTGCGCCCCCCTGCTGGGAGGACATAATAGCTCCGCAGAAGGGATTCCCTCTTCAACACTGATTGTGTTGAAGGGAGAATCCCATTATCTATGCCCTGCCTTAGCAAAAAATTTGAATATGCTAATTAAAAGTGTGAACTTTACCAAATATTTTTTTTTTTCTCTAAAAGCGTCCATTTTGCTTTCTACTCTGACGGGGAGGGAATCTACAGTAGTTTCTTAGGTTTAAGGTCAGAGATGTCATTCATGACAACAAACAGACTGCTGAATAGTGACAACTAACCGACTGCTATTGGATACAGCACATCCTTGCCCTCTGCATCATGTTATTACATAATCTCAACTGGTTTCATTTGTTTGGAGCTGGGCCATAACATTCTCTGGTAAAATGTTCCAAATCATGACAAAACTTGACAGTCTAATGTTTTGCCTGCGCAGGAGTTGAGGTGTGCTGTCAGTGCTTAAAATATGCATTTATTGTTGTGAAAGACTGTACTCCTCCTCTTGAACAAGTAACAACTTGCAATGCAGACCTGTCATGTCTTCGGGCTAGTGTCTGTTAAATTTTATACCAGTGTAGAGACAGAAAAGCTCTGTGCCATGAATGTTTAACAGGAAAATATAAGAAGGAAAAGACATATTCTATAAAGTCTAAAAAAGTAGCATAACTGGGTCATTCAATCCCTCCAGTCTCAGAAACTAGACTTTCTAAATAATCACCTCCTATTTATCCAGCTGACTCATAAAACCAAGATTGTGAAAGCATACAGGTTATTTTACCATTTCCTGCCAGAAACATGGCCACAGCAGTGATTAATATACACACATCATAAAATGTCCTATTTTATTTCTTTTTTTTCTAATTTTACTTTATTATTATCTAAATCCAAGTCATGAAGATTCTTTTGAAGGTGCATATTTACAAAGAAAGGGGGAAGGATGCAAAGCACTACATATGTGTCTTCGCCAGCCTGAGGCAAGCATTGCAGTGCATTTTGGTGCTCTTAGAGGTATGGAAAAATGGATAGATATGGCCTAGCCCATTGTTACATGACTCCAATTAGCATCAGGATGCACTGAAATGCTTGATCCAGGCTGGCAAAAGGCACCTGTGTAGTATTTTGCATTTCTCACCAATTTACTCAGAAGTAAAGAATCACAAACTTTTAAAGATAGGCACAAGTGATCCTCAAAACTGAGTGGAAGGTACAGATGCACCATCCAGCCCCACTGCAGGCAACCTATAAAATCTATGACAGTGAAATCTTCCAAATGAGAGAATTCTCTCATTTCACTTGGCCCTTCCCTTCTTTTTGACATAATTGTTTCTATAGGGGATTGAAGGGAAGTCTCCTCTATGGGACAAGATGGCAAAACAAACTTGATAGGGATTTTAAGCCTTTCCTGCTCTATCAATAATGAACGTATTCTAATTTTTTTCTATGACTCGTGTTAAAAAAAACAAAACACAGCAGTTCAGTGCAAAAAGATATTATATAAAGCCTACCTTCTGGCTTGCCGTATGCACCGAAGAATGCAGGACAATTCAACCTAAGGTTTCTAGAAGAGTAAAATGAACAAGCCTTTACAGATTGTTTATGGACCTACCAGCTCATCAAATATAATTTGCCATGCTTTAATTTGACAATGCTACAAATCAAAAAAGACAAAAGCCCACTCCATGATCCAACCAAACCAACTGCTGTCAACACTGAATGGGGCTGAACAAATTCAATGACATTTCTATTGAGTTAGAAAAACTTTGGATACCATGGTGATAAGCAATATGTATTAACACTCATATTCACACACTGGGCACAGGATCCCATGTAGCCAAATTCAAATCCAGAACTGCTGGTGTATGTTCGAAGTGTAAAGAAATGATTTGCATGGTTCCATCCCATATTCTGAAATTTATTTATTTCAGGTGCAAATGAGGAATAATCCTTTTATTTTTGGGGTATGTGATGGGATGATACATATGAATACCTTCTGTTTAAGTAGGCTTTACTGTGATACACATTGATTAGAGTGGAGGCTTTTTGATTCATTAAGTCCTTTCTCACCATTACCTCTATGGACCCCCTAACAAAGTCCCTCTGATGTAATATGTTAGGCGGAGATTGATGAGGCACAAACCGGAAGAGATGCCTGTATCCATACCTACAAGGTTTGCCTGGGAGTACAACGTGTGGCCAAGACAGCAGAGGGGACAGGAGAGGGTATTGCAGTAATCACTTCCTTTATACATGTTCTCAGTGCTCTTCACATGTGAGTTTTTAATTTTGTTTTAACAAATGTTATGGTTTTACACCATATACTGCTTGTCTTATTCCTTTGAGCAATGTTGAGATGTAACCTGGGAGGTCTATACAAAGGAAATGTTGCTACCATCTACCATTAAATGAGAACAAGCCTGCTTGACCTATCTAATGACCTATCTAATGTATGTTAGCTTAGGTTATGTAAAGTGCTGGTCCTGTGGAGTGGGACAACATGAGGGTGTGCTCACCATGTGATGGAATTTATGCATGGACTTTAATGATTTGGAAGACTCAGTGCACCTTTGGGTGAACAGTGTGGACACTCGCAATTCATATACTTTTTCACTGATGGATTTGGATTTATCTTAACATTGAGTTAAACTTTTATTGATTCATCTACTTGAGTACATTATGTCTTTATTGTATACACAGTTATTTGTGGGGTATTGACACATTTTTTTAATATTTTTTTAGTATTGTTTTAGCACTGCGCTTTATAAGTATTATTCATATTTGTTTTCTTTATGGTTATACTGTCTTGTTGTGTACTGTTTGGAAATCTTCCCATTAACCTTAGCTAACTTCATATGTTATACTTTTTGCCTCTCAGTTTCTCGACAGCTTCCTCACACACCTACACTTTGAGGCCATAACCTTATCAATGCAGGGTTTGTTACTGGGATGTGTTCTGGCAGGAAGGAACTGCTGCGCTACTTGAGGCCATGGGCAACACCTCAAAGTTTCAGAAATGAAATGCCTACATTAATAAAAGCCAGACAGAATATATGGGATGTAGCTGTCAAATCGTGGGTTATAATTATGTCAAAAGGGAGAAAATAAACCTCAATTGCAATTTTAATAATCCACTATTCATAGTACACGAGCCATAGAGAAAAGGTAGAGGATCACGACAGAGTATGGGCTCATTTATTACTGGCATCACCCGTAGAAGCAAGTCAAATGCAATATGCATTGAGGCTAAAATGTCTTGTTTCTGAGTTTCTTTGATTTTTCTTTGAGTTGCATTTCTCTTTTCTTTTTTTTCAGTGTAGTCAGAGGTTTATCAGTATTACAATATTTTACAGTGGTCATGCAGAGAAAAGCAACTTCAAAAACAAGCCTAAGCCGTGTTTTTCCAAGCTTGGGGGTTTAATTATTTAATTGGCCAGAATATTAAAGAATATGTAAACCCAACATTCCATATTCCGGATATGTGCCTGCTGTACCATGTATTTGTATGAAATAGTATCTTGTCCTCTTTGTATTGCTTAATTTTTGGGAAATCCCTGGTGTTCCTGCTAGTCCCTCAGCTTTCCTATTAAAAACTGACCACACTAAGCAGGAGAGCACACCGTGGTCAGTTCTCTAGCTGTGCTGGGAACTCCGTGTTTTCTCCACCAATGATCAGGCTTGTGCTGACCCCCCCCCACCCATACAGCCATTTCCTGGGAAGATTAGTATGCTGCTGTTTCTCCTCCCCCC